CCTCCTCCTCCTCCTCCTCCGGCTCCGCGGGCTTCTGCTCCTCCCGCCAGCGCTGCGCGCCCCGGGGAGCAGGAGGGGCTGTGCGCGCGTGTCCGTGTGTGCGCGTGCGCCGGGCGCAGTTGGCGGCGGGCTGGGCCCGGAGAGGGGCTGTGCGCGCGCGGGGTGCGCACCCGGAGGCCAGGGGACTCTGGGGGTGCGCGCCTGTGTGTGTGCACGGGGCAGAGGGGGAGACTGTGTGCATGCCTCTGCGTGTGTGCACGGGGCAGAGGGGGCGGCTGTGTGCATGCCTCTGCGTGTGTGCACGGAGGAGAGGTGGGCGGCTGTGTGCGTGTCTCTGTGAGTGTGCACGCGTGAGCGTGCGCACGGAGGAGTGGGGCCCGAGTGTGCGCTTGCCTGCATGTGCGCACGGAGAGGCGGGCAGTGTGTCTGCGCGCGCACCCGCAGAAGAGAGGAGGCTTGCAGGGTGTAGGTGTCATGCGCATGTGGACACACGGAGGAGAGAAGGAGAGAGAACGTGTGCGCTCGGGGCACGGAGGCTCCTGCCCCTGCTGCGCCCTGTGGCCTCCACGCCCACGCCCCACCTTTGCCTGGACTCCCAGCCCTTCCTGGCGTCCCCGGTGCCTGCTGGACTCAGACCGCGAGGGGCCTGGGAGGCAAGACCCGCAGCGGGGTGGGGAAGCTGCAGGGCGGGCCTGGTGGACCCGCGGCCTGGAGACACCACCTGGAGCCCACAGCTCGGGCCGTCCCGAGAGCCGGCAGAGGGCGGCCCAGGCCTCCGGAGCCCAGGCCAAAGTTCAGGGCTGCCTCGGGCGGCAGCGTCCAGCAAGCGGAGGCACAGGCAACATCGGCGAAGGACTCTGGGGGGTCACAGACTGAAGGCCTCGCTATGTGCTGGACACCCCACTTTGCGCGGTTCCACAGTTCAGTCACTTTTATGCTGATCACGGCCACTCCCGCCCCTCGGGTAAAGCTCCGCCCCCTGGAACTCTGCTGTCTTAAACTGCTTACAATTCAATCAGCGTTGGTTTCTTCTCTGAAGATGAGCAGAAAGGTCCTGGTTCTGTGAGCTGTTGTCACAGCAGGTGCTTAGAGGATGTTGGCGTGGGCGTGAATACGAGGCCCCTGGAGGAGTCCCGCAGATTCTGTCCTGGGACGACCTTGTTCTCTGCAGGGGGACATGTGTGACCATCGGCAGGTGCCCTGGAATTCCAAACACACCCCTCGTGTGGTTCCTCAAATGCGCCCGTGTTCCTAGCTCTTCCTTTTCTTTCTCAGGAAATCTTTATTTTTTACTAAATATTAATATCCAACCCGACAGCAGCGGCCAGCCCCCCCCAAGCTCTCGGAGCCAGCGCAGCCTGGCCTCTCCCTGAGACTCGGGGGCTTCGAGGTTAGGAGGACACAAACTTAGGGTCAGAGTGCGGGACCCTAAACCCCTTCCCACAGGCTCGAGATTCTGGTAGCTGCACAGTATTTATACAAGTTGATAACTAGTATCATTCAAAGTAACTTCTGCACAAAAATCCGTGCAGTGAAATATTCTGATCTCCCCGAGGCTCTGCGCTGCTTGGGAAGAGGGCAGAAAGTTAGTCCTTTCTGCCTCCCCATAGCCGCATACCCCACAGAAAGCCCCGATTTCTGTATTAACAAAAGTCAGTAACAGAGTTCTAAGTTTTTGACCGAAGATCCAAAAGTGTTTGGCCGCCCTTGCCCAGAAATCGCGCACTGGATGCTGAAGCCCCGGGACGGCCCCACCGGGGTCTGTCTGCGCCTGTGGCCTCGGGGTGTGTCCTGGGGTCGGGCTGCTCAGGACAGGAGAGTCTCAGCGACAGTCTCGGTCAGCTGCTTGCACCCACGGCTGCCGCCAGCCCGGCCAGGTTGGGGCCACGACTTGGTTTCACGTGTGTGGGCGCCAGGTTCGCCTGCGGGGCTGGCGCGGCACATGGAACTGGTCTGCGCTGTGTTTTACAAGAAGAAAGTCTTTTTCTTTTCTTCAGAATATTGTGGGGGTACAAATATTCCAGTTACATGTCACGCCTTTGCCTCGCCCAGGCCAGGGCTGCAAGTGCGCCCCTCCCCCACGCAGTGCGCTCGGCACCCGCGAGCTGTGAGCTCACCCGCCCCCGCCCGACCGGCACCCAGGGAATGCTGGGACCACGTGAGCACCTCAGTGCTGATCAGTGGGCACCCAGGTGACGGCCAGCGCATGTGGTGCTTGTTTTTGCATCGCTGGGACAGCTCCCCTCGAAGGACGGGCTCCGGCTCCACCCAGGGTGAGGAGGAAAGTCTTCGTCTCCCAAGCGCTGTGTGCCCGCTCCCGGGCGCGGTGCACGTCCTCGCCGAACGGCCCTTTGAGGAGGGAGAGCTGCCCGCCCTGGCTTGACCTGCCCCACGTCCAGTTCGGTTTCCCCTGCAGCGACCTGGGCCTTTGTCCAGCCGCCTCCGGTTTCCTGCCTCCTTGGCTCACCAGGACCACGGGGACACCGCGAGGCCTGTGGCAGGAGGCTGAGGAGCGGCAGGGACCCATGGAATTCACCGGGGAGTTAGAAATGACATCCCCGGGTGTGGGAAAATGACGGTTTCTCACTCTTTGGTGAAATGTCCATAAAGGCGTCTGCAGAAAACTTTGCTTCTTTGCATCGTGAAATGTGATGAAGTCGGTGTGATCTCAACCCCAAGTCTCACCTGGCGGGAGATGCTGAGGGCCGAGGCGTGCACAGGCCGGGGGACAGCGCTGGAGAGGGAGGTGGGGGTGACCACGCGGCGCCTGGGCCAGAGAACACCACAGGGGAGTGTGCAGACACCGGTGTGGCAGGCGCCTTCCGGGCGGGGAGTGACACACACGCGGGACACCGGGGGCCTCAGACGCACTCGCTCGGGGTCAGCTGCGCCTGCGGTGCCTGGAAGCTCTGGGTGCTGCAGCTTCTGGGACTCCCGGGGACGGGAGGTGAGGGGAGAGCACAGGCAGGGACTAGGGCAGAGGCCGGTGCCACACACAGTTCTGGCTGCCACCCCGCCCTGCGCTGCAGCTCTGCCCGTCCCCCCTGGTCCCTAGGAGGACCCTCTCGTCCACTCAGACTCAGCCAGCAGGAGGCGCAAGGAGGGAGCTGGGGGTGCCGCCCTGCCCCCTTCCCGCCTGGTGCCTCCCCGTCCACAGCGCCAGCTCTGCTCCGGTCCCCACCTGCTTCCTCCCGGGCCTGGGGACAGTGCGGCTTCCCGCGGGTGTCAGCCCCTCCGGCCGGCGGGTCACCCACAACCCCTCTGCCGAGAGTAAGGCCTCTGAGTGCTGTCGGTTCCCTGCAGGAGCAGGGATGGTCCCACCTCTGCCGATAAGAGGAGGCCGCTGGTGACGGACGTCGGGCGCAGACAGACGATGCACAGAGCCAAGAAAGGACCTGTTTTCCACGGCGGGAGCACAGCAGCATCCGCGTGACCAGGGGCAGGCGGGGCGGAAAGCG